CGTCGTGGTTTAACCCCAGGCAGGACTAAGCACCACACAGCCACTCGCTCGCCTCCCTGTTCCCCCGGTGGGATTGGGAAGAGAATTGGAGGAAAAGGCAGGAAAACTTGTGCGTTGAGATAAGAACAGTTTAATAATTGAAAATAAATAAAATGATGATACTAATACTAATAATACCAGTATCACTAATAATAGCATGTAATGAAAATAATGGGGAAAAAAACACCACAAATGATACAACCGCTCACCACCTGCCAACCAATACCCAGCCAGAGCCAGACCCCTGACCTGCTGCCCAACCTGTATACTGAGAGTGATGCCTCATGGTATGAAATGTCCCTCTGGTCAGTTTGGGTCAGCTGTCCTGGCTGTGTCCTCTCCCAGCTGCTTGTAGAGAAGAAGCTGGAACACAGGGGCAGTAGCAGAAGCTGAAAATGTCCCTGACTTGCTACAGGTTTTGCTTGGCAACAGCTAGAAACTTTACTGTGTTATCAATACTCTTCTCAGTACAAATCCAAACCAGAGCCTCATACCCGCTGCTGTGAGGAAAACGAACACTCTCCCAGGCAAAACCAGCACGCTGAGTTGTTATGCCTATGGTTTGGTTGGGCCTGGTTCTGTCAGCCTTTTTGTTCCTAGGGTATTTTTTTTTCCCTTTGGAGTTTTGCTTTGAGTTTCCTCCTGAGCTTCCCCGAGCGTAGCATTGCTGTGCCCACTGTGGGCTAAGTTCACGGGAAGGTCCCCAGAGAGGCAGTGCTGGAGCTGGTGCATAAGAATCTGCCTGGAGAGGACCCTCCATGCTGAACTGACGCTCTCGGGTGATGCAATGAGAGTGCCTTTGTCAAACATCATTCAACATGCTGAATGATTCAAGCCTGGGGAAATAACTGAGGGAGAAACAAAAGGATTGAGGAAAATGAGTGTGATGGTGAAATGCAGTGGATTAAGTACTCGAAGTGCATATACTCAGAAATAAACACCCAAATCGATTTTTCTATATACTTTGAAGATAAAACTTGCCGTTATTATGAAATTTGGGCAAAATTTTTAAAAATGGCTAATCTGAATTGCAGCAATTAAACCTTTGCATGGCTTCTTGGGCCTTGTGTTCAAGGCCAGGACCAGGGAGCCAAGAGTGAAACTAAGCTGGTTAAAATTAAAAATGTGAACTGCAGTCCAGATTGAAGCAAATCTCGCAGTTGACAATCCGTTATTTTGCTCTTGGTTAAACATGTGCTTTTTGTAGTACAGTCTTTTTTAAGGTTCAGAAAGTTCACAGCGCTCTGGCTACGCTAAAGAATCACCATGAAATTTAGACTCTAGGAAGCTTCACTGCACTGCTTACACCCTGTATTACTGTTTCCCTTGACCTGTGCCAGCAGTGAAGTCAAATGGGCTGAACTAAGTGATTTATGTGCAACAGATTAATTCTGTTTGATGGGATGGACATAGGGAAATGGATGAAAGCGGGGAGGGGATAATCTCCTCCAGCGATGTGGAGCAAACAGATGAAGGGGTGATGGGGAGAGCTGGGGCATCTCCAGCAAAGGGTATTCCTGCTTCTTAAGAGACCCTTCTTGACAAGGCTGCAGTTTCACGGTTGCTTCTAATCCAGTGAAGTGCATGACACCACCAAAAACTGAAGAACTTTGTTTTCTGGATTGAT